AGTAGCCTTTCATCCCATAGCAGTTCCAACTTGCAAAGAGACTACTCATCTTCAATGTAAAGCATGGAATTCTCAGTAGAATGTATTACAGAAGTCTAAACATTATCATCATGTCTAATATTCTCTCTATTTTAAGTAGCTCTATTTAATACATCAGCTTAAGCTCTATTCATAGGATATGTCACTGGCATTGCTAATTTCAACCCTTTCTCTTCCATATAATGAATGCTTTCAATTATTTTTCCAATTGCTTGCATTTTTCCAGTTAGCATCACATCTCATTTCACACCCTTGCTTCTAACTTCTATTTTGCTATGATACCATAGTAATTCTGAGGTTAAAAACAAAGATAAATCATTCTCATACTCTCTATCTCGCTCATATCTGAAGCGCTTTCTACTTTGGCATACATATGTATTTAATGAAATATTGTATTGCTTTTCCTTTTTCTGTACAACCAATCAAGTTGCTATTAAGAAACACATGATCTAAGGGTTCTATAATACACTGACCACTTTCTCAGAATTCACTGCTTTGGATAGTTTTAATTCTATGTAATTGGAGTTTTAAAATATGACACCTAATCGTTAATTCTGGCATGGAACTAAATAATACTATATTTGGTATTCTGAATTCTTACCATAACAACACAAATTATTGTGTACATAAATATAATTGATTACTTTTCCACAGAAAATGGATATAGCAACATAAAAATGAGGTAGTTTCGGAACCAATTCTCCACCCTAGCACACTCTCAACATTGTACCATTTCAAAGACTTATATAATGCCCCTATTCAGAAAATTATTTGACCATATATTTAAAGTTCTTTGCTGACTCTCAGATACATTTAACACTTGGTTCTGTGTTTCAGAGTATAGACTTCTATACTACTTCCTCCTACAACCCGTGCCTTACACAGTAGACAATGGTGTTACAACTTATCAAAGAAATCCTTTGAAATTTTCAGGTGTTACTGCTGTAATTTTGGATCATGTTTCAGTGCCCTTGGAATATTACACCATAAAACATAAGCCATATGCAGATTTAGGTTGTAGAAAAGTCAAAAAGACCGGAGACTGCAAAGCACTTCACCCTCCAAACAATGCTACACACACTGTGCTATAGAGGAAGAACACACAATAGATTTGGAATGTAATATGTGCAATTTGGAAACCATTTTTCCTGAATTCTGTGGGTAGACTCAGGAGTATTTAAGGACCTCCTCTAAGTGTTGTCAAAAAATTATCAGAAAAATTAACGGAGACCATATATAACATATCTAATTAAATAAACTTGCTATTGTGTATATACCGCTACTCTGGTGAGATCTAATTGCTTTTGAAATATAGAAGACAAAGAGGGTGATTATTTGGCTTAGAGAGGGGATAACACTAATAACAGCTTTTTAGTTTCACATGTGTTTATAAAAGCTGAATCAAAAATTTTACTTCCTTACAAAAAAAAAAATCTCTCCCTTCATTGACATGGCTTTTCTCTGTGCCTGAGATGTAGTTGTTATACCCACGTGTTTTTGGCTCAATGGCTTTTTATGATCACTCTCCATTGTAGCTGGTTCTTTTAAAGACTAAGCCACAGTCTTGCACAAAATGGGAATTTTAAACTAATCTCTAATATGGCTAGAATGGATAATCAAAATCAAGCATTCCCAGGGAAACAGCTGATCAAGAGAGTTTTGTACTGGCCTGATCCTACAAGAATCAGAATCTGTAAATAGTCCTTGTGAAACCACTAAGCATATTGCCCATATGGAAATATGGATGTTCATGACATGGAGCCAAAAGTACATGCTGTACCCAGCACTTCGTGGATATTTCGGGGAGAAAGGAGAAGAGACAGAAGAGTTACTGAACAGAAAAGTGGGTTTGTCTCTGTATTTATTAATTCCCCAGCATTCATTGAGAGTTTTCTAGATACAAGGAAAGTACACTGCCACAGTCAATGGTGGCCATGTAAAGACGATTTCTAAGCGAAGCATAAGATCTCCCATTGAAAAAAATTATGATTGGAGAAAGAAATTTTATAAGAACTCTTACAAGAAGCAGGAGGTTAGGAAAAAATTTTCTGATAGGTTGCTTCTGAAGGGTTTCTTGCATCTATGAGTGTAATACTACTCGCTGACAGAGCTGGGATTCATACATTTAATCAGTAGCCATGCACAGGAAAGTACAATTAGAAATGCTTCTGTACTGGACTGAAAACCTGGAAAATCAAGATTGGGGAGAAATTTCACAAACTCTGCTCTGTTAATATAACATTTAACTGTTAAAAAAAAAAAAATCTCTGTTTAAGGCATGTGGTAATACTTCTTAATCAAAGTTTGGCTTTAAGGACACAGTATTGTCCCTCACCTCTTTCTTTTATTGGTCAGTTAAGTAAAGGAGTTATCTTACTCAAGTGCCCTTCCAGATCTTTACAATGAGGGTGGTGAAACACTGGAACGGGTTGCCCAGAGAGGTAGTGGAGGCCCCATCCCTGGAAATATTCAAGACCAGGTTGGACAGGGCTCTGAGCAACCTGATCTAGTTAGTGGTGTCCCTGCTCGCTGTGGGGGGGGTTGGACTAGATGACCTCTAGGGGTCCCTTCCAACCCCAAAATTTCTATGATTTTATGATTCTATGATCTTTCCCTCTATGGCAGACAGACAAACAGACTTAACATGACAGATACAAATCGAAAAAGAAGAAGAGATATGTAAGATAAGACAGAACAAAGCAGCCCTCACTTAAATTTTGTTGCATTTAGAACATGAGAGTAGTGGTTACATTTTGAGAAGCAAATTAGAGAAAAATCAGAGAGCAGAAATGTTCTAGCTCAGAGGCACAGGATTTTGGATGTTGGTTCATTTTTCAGAGATAAGACTGAGCTGTATCACATTTAAAGGAGGACTTAAATTTAATTTTATACAGCTAAATTTGGATGGAAACCTGTTCCTTAGAACAGCTCCATGCTGATAAGTATCTCTGGTTCCCACTTTCTTTCCTTCTGTTCAGCAGTGCTTGGCTGCTTCAAGGGGAGGGTTGTAGCCTAGTCATATAAGGACCTACGGCCTGGCAGTGAAGTCAGGAGCTCTGAATCCAAGCCCCTCAAGGCTGAGCAGACATCAGGACCAAAAAATTGTGCCACTTGCCACTACATTCTTCTGCAACAGAGGATGAGCAAAGAATGGGTTTTGACATCAACACTTGGCTTCCTAATGACGCTTCTGCTCCATTGCAAGCTGTTTCACAGAAAAGGGCATAATTGCTGGTTAAAAAATGGATTCTAGCATCTTCCACTTCCTTTTGGGCCCTGTGTATGCAGAGAGTTATATACTAGTTTGGGAGAGCTGAGCAGGATTGTCCTTTTGAAGTCTTTGAGGTACTTCTTTCTACTAGCTGTATAGAGAATTTACCCTCTAGCTGTAGAAAGATGGAGAGAGTCGGGGTGTTCAGTCTGGAGAAATCTCCAGGGAAACCTTATTGTGGCCTTTCAGTACTTAAAGGGGGTCTATAAGGAAAAAAATGGTACAAACTTTTTAGCAGGGCCTGTTGCAATAGCACAAGGGGTAATGGTTTTACACCAGAAGAGGGCAGATTTAGACTGAATGTAAGGAAGAAATTCTTCACTACTGGGGTGGTGAGGCACTGGAACAGGTTTCCCAGAGAGGTGGTAGACGCCCCATCCCTGCAGACATTCAAGGTCAGGCTGGACGGGGCTCTGAGCAACCTGGTCTAGTGGAATATGTCCCTACTCATTGCAGGGGACTACATGACCTTTAAATGTCGCTTCCAAACCAAATTATTCTATGATTCTGTGAAGACTGGATGTTCTCTCATTCCCCTTTCTTTTGCTGTTTTTAGGTGTTTAAAATACAGCTGTGTCCAAGCCCAACTAAGGAAGCTAAGACTTTGTACAGAAAATCCTATATGTTCACCTATACTATATCTTCTAGTCCATCTTGGCATGTACTACAGAGGTCTCCAGGGTTTTGAAATGATATAACTGAACAAGTCACATAATATTTCACTTTCATAAGTGAAATATGTTCTAGTCAGTATGGCAGATTTCAGTCACAATGTCGGGATGTGTCTACACCAACTAGCTTTGGGCATCCAACTTTCTTGTTTTGAATTATTCTCTGAAAGTAAAGTTTCTTTCTCTTCAGCGATGACATGAGAAATTCAGACTCCTAAAAAAAGGTACTGTGAACTGCATCTTTCTAGAGACCTTAAGAAGGATCAAAGCCGTAGTAAGGATAACTAATAAGTCTGATGGTCTTAGGCAATGGGCCAAGCATAATGTTAGGATTTTTTGAGAAGAAAATATCTGATAAATTCAAATGCTGTTTGTATAGGTTTTGGAAGGAATATCCTTGCAGTGAAGTCTTCCCCTTTCTTTGAAATGGCCTTGGTAAGTCAGGCTGCATATTACAGTGAGCAATTAAGACACTACAAGCTTATAGGTGGACATATTTAATTTGGTTTCAGAGTTGCTTGTTTCAATTTAACTAGAATATATTCTACACGGATCTAGGCTTGCATGAGTTTATAGTGTAGCCTGGAAATAGTAGTAGAAGTCTTTGGAGATTCAGCCATAAAGACTGAGTAAAAAGACCTGGACAAGTAGCAGTCATGAAGTCTAAAATTATATGGACTCTATAGAGGAAACATAGTATCTTCACAGATATTACTAATTGTCATGCTGTGAAAAAAAGCTGTAATAAATTATCTTCATATATATAATTTCAAAACTAGAAAGTACATCCACTCTTTTATTCTGAGGCTAAATCCCAATGCATCTAAAGCTTTTACTAATAATAACAATATAGCTTTGTACATGTTTCAGAAATTGGTCCCAGAAAAAATCCCAGGAAAAAATTAAGAGAATTGGTGATTAAATGGAATGAGACATCCAACTACTGAACTTTTCTGTTTGCATTTTTCACAGACCTTCCTGCAAGACTATCTTAAACTTGAATATATGGAATTACTTACTGTGCAAAGTGTCTCAAATGTCTTTTCGGAGACAAAGGATCCATCAAGACCAAAAAGAAAAATAGATGCATAAGAAAGCATCCCTCCAAGGATAATAAGGTTGTTCATGTAGGGACTGGACATCTTTATTAGTCTATGGACAAAAGGTGATAGTGCATTAAAGAGAAAAAGATTACTGCTAGGCTGTTAGAGCAATAAAGAGCTTTTTGTAACCAGGCAAACAAATCACCCTTTTTGTAGAGCCCTATGAATTCTATAGGCATGCACGCTATTTGCGGTTTTGTAAAGTCTAGCATTGTTTCAGGTTTTTGAATGTTTAGTGACAAGACCTCCTATTTTACTGATGGATTAATTAGCTAGAGTTAATGTTAATAGCAGACAGTCAAACATAAATAAAAAAATTACACTTTTCAGATAGTATAAAAGAACTTCCCTTACTAGACAGACAATCTGTTTCGATGTGAATATATTACACAGTCATTTCAATTAAATAGTTCTAAAATATCATCCTTCCATGGTTTTAATATTTTCCTTATGTATATATATATATAGATGACAGACTCTACAAATATGGCATTTAAATATGAAAGTAATGATAGAAGTAACATGAATGTCTTACTTCTGGTTTCTGTTTTTGATGTTAAAGAACAAGAAAGCACTGGCCATTATCATTCCTAGGATGGTGAGGGCAGAGAGGATGCTGTAGAGAGGCAGGGAGATCTTGCGTAGCTCCTCTTGTATAATTGTTTTGTCCTTTGGAGGCTCAAGTCCTAGAATTACAAGAAGAAAAAAAGGCTAAAGCTCAACTAGATGTAGAATTTCTGTAAGAACTTTCGCCTCTCCTAAGTACGGTACCTTGATTTAGCAGATTTAGCAACTGTGAACCACACCAGTAGCTGATGAAATCATTGACTTTGACAGAGATATGTTAGTCACATTGATTGACAAGAAGGCTTGCATTTCTGGAGCAGGTAAGCATCCTCTTTGGAAGAAAAACCACAACAAAACCCTAATGCAGAACCCCGTAAAATATGTTACCTATCCTCATTTTAAAGTGTAAATAAACGCTGAAATGCGTACTACGACTGTAAATTTTACCAGAAGGTTATGCTTTCCTGAAACAAGTGACAGACCAATGAGTAGAAAACAGAGAATGCAATTTCTCTGCACGCTGTCATTATTACCAGGGCAAATTTAAACGGCCAGTCTAGATACCTACCACAGCTGAAAGCCAACCTTTGTGTGGTACCACTGGGGCAGGGACTGGCAGCCCTGGGGGGCTGAAATGGGTCCTGGGCTGTGGGCAGGGTGGGCAAAGCCCCGGGAGGAGAGGAGGCAGGGCTGTTGGTGCCTTCAGGGCTCTACAGAATGGAACAATACGCAAAAAAGGGATAGCAAAGGTTTTATAGGGACAGACCTACTTTGCAAATCCCTGCAGATGTGGACTTGAATGAACTTAAAAACTATGTTTAAGGCCATGTGCTTGATTTACAGTCAACTCCCGCTAATTAAAGGCTTCTCAGTTTAATGAGAAGAATTACTTTCTGACAACTGCAATAAAGCTCTGCGTCCCCTAATTCTCACACTCCATTTTACCTGTTTACTATTTTTTTCCATGGTGCAGGGGATTGGCAAGAGGCATTTTGCATCAGTGTCCTCCTTCAGAAAGGGATTTGTGTGCCCTACAGTGCCTGAGCCTGTCCTTCCACCTCAGGTCTCCGTGGGGCTGCGAGGATGACCACACCGGGCCCAGCAGCTTCGTTTCACAAAGCAGCCGCACAGGTAGAGCTCTGTGGACCTGCGGATTGCAGAGCTGCAAGTAACTGACGAGCAGCTGCCATTGCTAAATTTCACGTCCACCCTTCTGCTTTGGACCTAGAAGAATATTTAAGGATTTCTACAATAAAATAGCTTTATCCATACCAGTGAAGCTGAAACAATTCAGACGAGAAACTTGCTATTGTTTGGTCTTTATACACAACATTTCTGGAAAAAAATTTCCTTTCAGGTGATCAAAATAAAGTGGCAGTCAAGGGACCATTTGCTGATTTGATACTGGAGAAAAGTACCCGACATTTTCCCCTTTTCCCTTTCCCACCTCAGACCATGTGTTTACAATGCATGACACTTCATGAAACTAGGCAACAAGTAACTAGCCTAACTAATAAAACCCATTTTAGATACAAGAGTATTTTGATGGGTTTTATGCTTAATATTAGTCCTTTTAATTGAGGCATGCTCTTTATCGTAGTTTGATGATTCTATAAAATGCATTTTCTTATTTTTGCAACGGCCATTCAATTCAACTTGTTCTAATATCATGAATTACTGTTCTCTTGTGTGTGATTTTATGCAATAGTTTAAACAGTGCTATATTTACTAGTCTTCAGCTAAAATATTTAAAGTTACTAAGTTTTTTATACTGCCTGGAAGATGTAACAACAGTGTCCTTCACACTGAATACATGACTACCTCAATAAAAAGTTAATGTGGATAAATGGAGACGGTTCACTGTGAGTCACATAGTGCATCTTAAGACAAATATAAGACAGGCTATGGGTGCAAGGAACACCAAATGTGGTCAGAACAAGAAATAGTAGTCTGATCCTGAAAAAAGCCTAAACAGAGATTTTTTCCTATCATCTACTGTCCATCAAAGCATGGAGTTATGAACAAAACCTGTCTCCTGTTACTTGGTTCATTCTGCATACCTTCTCTGGAAATTAATGATATTGAATCAGTATTCAACTACATTTTCTCCTTGCAGCAAAAGTAATCTTCTGGGTCCCAGACTTTGGCAACTGGGGCAGATTCTGCACTCTTTTTTTCCAAAGCCTCATTCTCCAGACAAATGTGGGAAGTGTATGAATCTGTCCTCTTTCAAGTCCAGCAAATGATACCAAAAGAAAAGGTGGACAGCTCCAGCAGATGGACAAACATTCATGGATTAGATCATTGCAGTGAAACTCCAGTCATGTTCACGCAAACCTTGGGTGTTGGAACACTGGAAAGAGGTGTAGTAGAGCACGGGATACAGCAGCTTGATACTCATCCACCACTTCTAGGGCAAACAATGCAGATCTCATGAGGCCAACTTTACTTTCCGTTACTGAATTTCACCATAGCAAAACCTCAGATTAAATCTTCTTATTAGCTTTGAAAATAATTTATATGCCTATATTCAACAGGAGAGACACTTAAAACTCATTTCAGCTGACATCTAGCTGTCATGATCTCATGCTCAGAAAGCCGTGGATATGTCTGCACTCAACAGCTGTGAGGGCAGAGGAAGTCCCCATGCTAACTCTGGGGCAGCATGGGACAGAAAATGATGAGAAGCTACAGTAACACAGACTGTAAGCCTGCTGTGGACCTTGGGAGTGCTGCTGGGCTGAACAACCTCTCTAGCCCTGTTTCACATGCACCATCTTAAAGCTAGCCTTGGTATTTTGAAATCCCATTTTCTCACTGCTTAACAGACACTTCCCCAAAAAAACCAACCACCTCCTTCTTCTGTGTGCGAACACAGTGCATGGGAGCTTCCCTCAGGTGAGATGAACTAGGGGACTGCGAAATGGAGACGAAATTAGAACATTACTGATCAGTGGAGATGAAATAGAAGACATCTCTGTAACTCGTTGAAATACCAAAGAACTTCTGTGTACATGATATAAACTTGAATTTATCTTGGTCATTGGAATGAAAAACAAGTATACAATATCAAAGCATTGAGATTTTCTCTTCAGAATTCTCCTTTTTTTTTTTTTTTTTTAAACCCTCAGTTCCCTTTCTTATTATACCCTGTCATGGCTTTTTAATATTAAAAATCCTAAAACTGTTCTTTAACAGCATGCAGTCTTACAAACCATATACAGCTTTACATGTCATTTCTGTACCTTTTTCCAGTTTTCTCTCCTACCTTGGAACCTGATGCTGTTGTTGATTATTTCCAGTGTGTCAGCCACAGCATTGTACTCTCCCACCTTCACTTCCTTTCTTTCTGCAGAGAAGCAAACAAGAGTGATTGGTTATGGCAGTTCACATGTTCTCAATTATTTAACTGATTTTGCCTTCTTTTTTGAGAGTACGTCAAAAGGAAAACAAATATGCCTGAAGTGCATAAATTATTAAAGCAGAATGCCAGACAGCTAACATCATTAAAGGAAATATTTCTGATTCTTTAAAGAAACGCACAGTATTTTTAAGAACTCATTTATATAATCAGGGAATTATTGTTATTGGGCAAAGACATCTCCAGCATAAACATCACACAGTTACTGGCTCACATCATGAAGGACATTATGCTGGGAGAACAGACATGGCTAAATCACACATTCCACTCTCATTTAAAAAACTAGGACATATTGCTCTAGGGAAGTATTTCCCAAGGCAGTCATAGTGGCAGACTCCAGCCAGTATGGAGTAGACTGTCTAGTTAATAGATGTGTTGGGAATCTAATCTCTTATCCTTATTGGGAATTAGCAAGTCATTAGTACCCTGACTGCAAAACACACATTATATGTTATATAATTAAAGCCACCATGCACTTCAGCTAAAATTTTAGTGTTACTCTCACCTGCTATTTTGGGACTCTCGTCACATATATTGCCTTCTTGTACCTGATGGAGCAGTGTAACACAGATATAGGAACTTAATTTTTTTGGCCGCTGCCTTAGCCAGTGTAGCTGGAGCTCTGGCACAAATTTGTCCCACCTTTCTGATAACACCTGGCATCAATTTATTTCTGTTATTTCTGTTGGATTTTTGGTATGGCTTGCAAGTGCAGGAACTTATTAAATTACCACTTTTACACTAAACCTCATGCATTTCGATCAGAAACTTATAACTACAGGCACATTAGTTAAAGTTTTCTTTGATAAGCTGGCTCAGCAGAGCCAAAAATTTCCTTACAGGCCTCTATGTCTGGGCTTGCACAACCCAATTTACATTTAAATTCTGAGCTCGTTACCCTATTTGTGACACTGGTTTGGGGAGCTGATGATCTTGAACTATATGCCAAATTTGAAAAGGATGTATTTCACCCAACAGTTCCACATTAATCTTTTCTCCTTTCTCACTCAAAGTGATTGTGCCTGTTAATCTCTACTGAATGAAGCAGCTAGCTCCATATTAGTAAAACCTACAGGCGGATTAATACTAATCTGAGAATTTACAGGAGGCAAAAGTTCTCCTTACATAAACCACAGTTCTTATTGTTAAAATTGTTTACTCAGCAGTGTAGACTGGGCTGCAAATCTGGTGGAGATATCTAGGCATTTGCTATATCCCCATCAAAAGCTGGAGTTTACAGTTCTGAAAACTGATTTGTCTTTCCCATGAGCAGGATCCACCTGGGGCCCTAAAACTAGTTTGGAATAATAGCTCAATTCCCTGGTCCCCAGCAGCAGTTTCACAGAACCCATCCACACAGTGCTACATACACTTAGGAGTAAATGTAAGTTTATACTTTCTGTCACCAGCTGAAAAATCTCTGTGAAATAGATCCATGCACAAATCCTTGACAGTCTTCAACAATAAAATCTTCCCAGCAGTCATTTAAGAGCTAAAATTGTTACTGCTAAAACTGAACCAATTCACTTCCATCTGTGTCTGTAGCATGACAGCTATTACCTGTAGATCTAAAACATCAAAACACAACCTAGAGAGAAGACAAACACCAGAATGCATATCAACATACAATTTACACTTTAGATGCCAGATAGTCCTCAACATCTACTTACACCAAATGGTGAGGACATGCACCTCGGTGTTGGTCTAGCCACAACTTTACAGCAACGGGCTAAAACCTGACAGCTCTGATGAACAATGAAGAGAAAAGTGTAATTGCTCCACAAAGATTTCTGTATGGAGCGCTTATTGGGACTAGATTAGATGTGAGAAGCATGTGATAGATGTGGAAGCATACACAAAAGAGAGCATAAATCTGTGGTCTAACTGATTAAGGTACTGCAACTGAGAAACTGTTTCTGTGATTGCTTCATGTGACATACAATGTCATTCTTTTTCAACATTTATAAATTCTTATGTGGCTTGCTTTACAGATGAAGTAACACTGAGAATGTGCCTATGACACTAACTGCAATGTAGTGCAATATAGATGAGGCAGCCCACAACCAGCCAGCCTGGGTACCAGGAGCTCGCCCTTGTGGGAATGGAACTCAACAGAGCTATTCGGAGAAAAAAACTTCCATGGCAGACCAAGCTGAAGAGCAAGACTTTTTTGGACTTAGAAACCCAAGAGTAGGGGAAAACAAGCATTTAGTACCTAGGAACCACATTATCAATGCCTCATTCCTTGCAAATGGGAAAGGACTGTTCACAGAGTGCATGCCAAGGTTTATCGAAGTCAAGCAGAGCCATAAAGATTTTTGATATTTTAAAGTAGTTACAGTTGTGGAAAGTAGTCTACAAGGGAAATAAACTGTATTTTTATTGAGGGGAAAGATACACTATCCATTTCATAGTATGATTACAGGGGTGCTGAGGGGGAGACACAAATAGTCTTTGTGCTTTTTTATACTCCCAGCAAAGAGTACAACTACAGCTGTCAGTTCTTCAGTTTCCCAAGCACAAGTGTTGATCAGTGATGGTCACCTCCAAATATGAATTAAAGGAAGCAAGGAGGCAGCACTATGGCTCTCTGCTCTCTCGCATAGGCCAGCATAGCTAAGGATGGGACTGCAGGCTCTGCTTTTCTACATGCCATTCCCTTGAGTTCTCTGGAAATTCTGAATTATTCAAGTCAGTATACTGTTTGTAGAATGTAGCTCAAGTCTGTCAAAATCTCTGTGTGTTCAACAACGAAAGGGCAGGAGGAAGTGTAACTCCTTCAAATAAACACACCAACAAAGTGCTTTGCACGATATTCAGAATATGATGTTGGCTTCTTTCTGTAGAGCTTTCATTATTTTTAATTTGATCCTTCCATACTCGTGATAGAGAGATTGTATTGAAAACCCCCTGCTCAGGTTAAAATGCGAAAGAAAAGTATGAGGAAAAATATACTTTGTTTGTGAGATAATATTTGTCAATACCATGACAGGAGTGGTGGGATTTTAGAACTTGAATCTGCAGCTGTTCTTTCACACAGGAACAGAAAAGTATGAAAACTAACCAACCCAAAGAAAACTGGCCCAGAAATTTTTGACTGAAAATTATTCCTATCTAACAGAACTATAAAACAACTAATCCTTGTCTTCAGTAAATTGTCACAGAATAGATTACTTATATGACCAATATGAAATCCTTCTGCTAACAAAGAACTGAACTACTCTTCAAGATGAATAAAACATTTTCTGCTGCATGTTTTCTTACAGAAATTTATAGACCACTTTAAGTAACTCTAGACAAATTGACACACTACCACTTAATTAATTAGGTCAGGTAGTTACATGTTCTTGTTGAATAAAAACAAAAAAAATCCTGCAGCTGACATCAGCTGAGTCAAACACACTTAACAACATGCACAACAGTACTATGATTACCAATATGACTGTTACCCACTTACATTGAGAACTTCCAGATGAGACTATGCTTAGTTTCAGTTCCTCTCACTATATGTCATACTTTCAATTCCCCTATATTTTCACAAGTGTACTTATTCACAAATCACAGAGATAGCTTCTACTGAGACATGTTTAAGGGTAAGAGAAAACACTTGCAATGCATAAGAGATGGGACAGATGGATTTACTTTCTTTTCCTCTGTGTAGACAATGCTGGCTAGCTTCTAATGATGCTAAGACATTGCCTATTTCTAAAGTTTGTACCACCTTCAAGTATATGAGTCTGACTGAAACGGTACAAATAACCTTTGTGGTGATGCAGTTAAGCCAATACGAAAATGTTTGCACCAGTGTAATCACCAGTATGATTTGTACTTATAATAGTAAGGGCACTCTGAACTAAGACCGTATCCTATGAAGTTACAAAAACACGTATATTGATATGTGAATGCATTCATGAACTCCTACATGTCTAGTTGGTTATACCAATGTAAAAACTATGTCTAGGTCACCAGAACAAAGACAAATTAACAGATCTGCCCTAATGTTACTGTGGTGCCCTAAGTGCATAGCTATAAATAAAAATTCAGGACCTCAAAGCTCTAAATAGCTTACCAAAGCTTGACACTACTAATACTTTGTTATGTCACTGCAGCTCTTTATAAAGTTAGAATTCCACGCAAACTACAAAGACAAGCATGTGCAAGTGATGAGTATTCACTTTCCAACAAATACAAAGTAAATTTTGAAGTCAATTTAATAAACTTACTATGGACTATTCTCCAGATAAGTTGAGGGTCACTGAGGTTTCTTATCTAAATGATACTTAGGCTATTCTTAACTTAGAAGCAGCAGAAAAAAGACAAAACTTATAGCTGAAAGCATACACAGTATCTAGGTCTTAATATGTCCTGAAGGAACATCCCTGCACAAGGTGTTGCCTCCATGTCTCCTTCTCCTTGAAAAATTTTTCAAATTTTCTTTATATAATCCCTCCTGTTTCTCCACTCAAGAAACCGTCACTGGAGTCCCTGAAAACCTTCCTCTGATATCAGTTTAACAATTCCTTCTCACGCTCTTTGACAGCTGCCCCTCTTGCTTAGCCATCATAATTCAGTGGGAGTGATTAGGTGCTTAGCACCTTAGAAGATCTTGCTGCATATTCTGCACTTAGCGGCCTATCTCAGGATCCAATATTATTAAACCTTGCCCTACAACAGAAACATTTAGCTCTTGCCCGTTGTTCCTCATCTGTACATTGCAGACCAAGAGGACTGCTGGCAGCTATGGGGAATATTTACTCAGCAGATCTCAGAAGAAATTTGGAAAATGCCCAAGTGGCCGACAACAGGTGAAACTGAGCATGGACCAAACACACTTGAAATGCTTAAATGTCCTTAGGAAGAGAATAATACTTAAATTTGGAAAGATTTTCATTTCAAATTTAAAATCAATCTCCTAGATACAAATCAAA